AGCTGCGGCCGGCCAGGCTCGGGACTCTGCGGCCCCGCTCTGCTTCCACCTCGATAGTGCCCTGGTCGGAGCTCTCATAGGTAATGGTGGGTGTGCCCCCGGGCTGGGTGCTTGACCCTCTGAGGTGAGCGGGTGGGGAGGAGGGGAGGAGACGGCCTCCCCCGCGTCCTGAGGGAGCGCATGGCTGTGGCAGTGAATCCCTGCCTCCCGTCAGTCTGGCCGGGGAAGGGCCCCCTGCAGTTCCTCTCCGTCTCTCTCCACCTGGGCATCGCAGAGTGCTTTTGCAGGGTTTCTGCCACTTGCCAGGGAAACTTTTCCTCCCTAAAGTGATTCAGTTGATGTCTGTTTCTCAAGGCTAGCAGTGTGTAAGTGGTCTGAAGCCCCTCTACTCACATGTAGGAAGGTTGACAATATCTTGGTCCAATTTTACACCTCCATCTCTTCTACTGAAGGTCATTCCCCTACACATAAACCTTGCATTTGGTTAATTGACAAAAGAGTTGCCTATAGTCTCCAGGGGTTTGGTGTTACATGTTCTTTGATTTGTAGATGCATGCACTCATATGAAGGTCTTGTGATTTGGTCACAAACAAAATATATACAATCAATGCGTAGGTTTGGGCATGTTGTCCTAAATCTATAATACCTGCTGTGTATCTTTATAACAGGTCGGGGTGGAACTAAAATTAAAGAACTTGAGGATTCTTCAGGTTCCAGGATAAAGGTACCGTGTGCTGTATGTTGTCGAGAAATAGCATCTGTTGAGAACATACTTATTTTTGTTTCTGTGTAAACCATTTGGAGGAAGTTGAAGGGTGTTACAATGGCTGTAATAATGCCACTGCTTTACAACTAGTAAAAAGGAAGTGGAATTGAGGGAGCAATTTGGATGTTTTGTGAAAATAGGAAAAGGTTATTGATTCTATTTTTTTCCTTAAGTTTGCATTTATTTCCTTTTCTTTTAGAAATGGGATTAAAGGGCCTTTTCATAGAACAAGTTAAACTTCAGGGAAAATTGGAAATAAAGGACCAAAAATTGTTTTCAGTGTGTCTCCTTGTACAATGTTGGTCTTTGCAGTATGGAAAAAAACTCAGTCATGTTTTTGAACATAGATTACAAGAGGAACCTATGAATCTGAAGTAAAGATTTTTGGCAGCATTGATGTGCAAAACAAAGCCAAGATGTTGATTGACAATCTTGTTACAAATTCTGGACAAAATTATGTTAGAGGTGGGACGGAGAAAGGTAAGAAATATGGGACTGGGGGAAAAACTTATTATGGGTTGTCTTCCATATGTTTGGTAGTTTGCTGGAGTATTTTTATATTGTTAGTATTTTACAAAGTAAGTTAACTTGAACCTTGTTCTTGGGCAATGACATCTCCTTAAAACAGAAATACCAAGATACTCTTTTTTTCAACTATGGACAGTTTCCCCCTCTCCCCAAACTGCTAGGCTTTGGTGAAAACCAGTTCCTGTGTGTTTTCAACAATTTTATGGATGCAGAATGTTATACCACTTTGGTTTATTGCATTATCAGTCTGATTCCTCCAAAATACCAGCATTTGCTCTAGTGCAAGTTTTAATCTGGTATCTGTGGAATATTACAATTCAGTAAACTTTTGTGAAGATGGTCTATAAAGTGCTGATCATAGCATGGGCCATGCTGACTTCCTACTGCTTTCAAGGAAAGTTAATGTTTTAAGGTTTGATGTTGCACTTCATGCCTGGCCTTACAAGGTTTTCCTGTGGTAGCTTTGTTACATGGATATAGAAATAATTTTTCTACATTTGGGTGCTGCTTGTATTATTGGTACATCTTGTATGTGCTCCCAACAATTTTTTGCACAGGCAAGCACCATCCACAGTTTTTGATCAGATGCACTGATTAGGAAGAAGGGATCCAGGAGTTATGTTCCAGCATTAAAATAAGGACTGGAGTAGTTGTGTGTTTCATTTTCAGAAGTGTCCTGGAAGGTAGATGAATATGTTTCAAGAGACTAGAAGTATTTAAAACTACCTTAGGATTTGTGACAGTGTTATCCCTATGTTTCCTGCCTTTCCCCTAATTTTCCACACAGTTGTGTTGCTATTTATTTCTTCAGTGTAAAACTGCACTTAGGAGGCGTTAACCTCATCAAAAAAAAAGTATACAATATAACTAGACTGAGACTTCATTGTCGTGTTGTTGGATGCTTTAGACCTAAGCTTTGCTCTTGTAGCTGTTGAAGCTTCCTGCATATCAGCTACTGGTTTCACAAGTTTTTTCAAAAGCTTGCTGCACAACAAGCCTAATTTATAGTTGGAGGAGAAGCATTTCACAACCCATCATTACTTCCTTTAAATAACTAAAGATGTTGAAATGTTTCCCTTTTTTTCTCAAAACTGAATTTGTACACATTTTAGCAATGTTTCAGGGCAGAGATCTAGGAAAGAAATTTCCAATTATATGTTTCATGGCTATTTAAAATACATGAGGCCTTGCAATAGAAAAAAAATGTGTTTGTTTTGAGGGGAGATTTCTCCCCATGGTTTGTTCCATCAAACAGCAGCATTTTGTTACTAACTCTGCAGGAAAAACCTTGGACATTATCAAGCCTGAAAATAACCCAAAGAAACCAGTGATTAACTGGGCCTCTCTTCGAGAAAACAGAGCCAAATATGAATCTATGAAGTGGGCAGGTTAGCTTTACAATTTTCATTATATTGTACTTGTCTTTATGTGGTAAATCTGTTAGAATGCTTAAAGGTTTCTAATACTTGCTTTGAGATGACTGAATCTTTCAGAGCCCAAATTGACGATGTATTTGCAGTGAGCTGGCCATGTTAGCATTTCTCAACATGGTCATGGAGGACACTGATTACTGCTGCCAAGAATTAAACCTGCTACTCCTGTGGTATTTTGTATGTCACCCTTTGAAAATGGTGTTGTTTTGTATGTGGCCACCAGAAAAAAAAAGAAAAACCTAAGAGTTTTCAAATATACTACTATATATATTAGTAGAAATTACTTCAGAAATTAAAATGTGGGGAAGTGGGGTTTTTTTGCCGTTGTTGAAGTGTTTGTCTCAGCCTTCATCTTTTTTTACATAAGCAATGGTCTTCCATCACTTCCAGCTAGTCTCTCCTAGCTCAAGGCATTGTCTGGGTCCTGGGCTTTCCATCGTAAGTTTTAGCAGACTTACACTTACTCTGTATTATTTCTTGCTAATTTGAGTTGAATTTTTATGATTGTTTAAGGCTTGCCTCCAATTGAGAAAAACTTCTACAAAGAATCATCCAGGACTGCATCTATGTCACAAGAAGAAGTGGACCTGTGGCGGTAAGATAATTTTTTTTTTAGGGAATCATCTGCTTGGCAGAAATTACTATTAAACTATAAAGCCTAGAAAGTGGGAGATGAAATAGTGAGAGGCAGTAATGCTGGGGTTTTGTAGCAACTTAATCTTTTTAAGAACTCTTTCTTGGGACTGGAACAACTAGCAGATGAGATGCTATTAGTTGTCTGGAATTTCTGCTTCTCTAAAAGTGTGCGATCTAGTTGAATTTCAAAACAGAAAAAAAATCATGACAGTTCATTGACTTTTGGCTGTTTCTTTGCCTTTCATTAGGCAGTATATTCACATTTTCCAGATCTTTCCAAATAGGATTGTTCACACGTTGAATACCTTTTGGCTGCAATTTTTCCCTGCATCTTTTTAGTCAAAACCATCTTCAAACCAAATTCCAACTTTTGTTACTATTGTCTTCCTTTTTTATCTATCTTGTCTTTACAAGCCCATCCTAGTGAGTATATGCTTCAGTTAACTGCATCTGTTTATTTTGATCCAACAGACTATATCAGTACCTCTCAAGGAAAACAGATCATCTGTTTCAAGTGATTTGGTTCAGGCCTTGGTAATAGTTACAGCCCCCTTCAGTAGTGCTAATGGAGTCAGTGAGCATTATTGAAGTTTTTATTACTTTTCTTTTTTTCTTTTGCATGCCAGAGAAACTTTGCCACAGTGAGTAAAGCATGGAATTGTTTCCAGCTGTTTTCACCTTCTTCCTTAAAGTATATAGATGTATTATTGTTAGAGCTTGTGAAAATTACAGAACATTGCTCTTGTAGGTTAAAAATATGTACTGTGGAGTAGAACTTGTGTGATAAAGGAATTTTTTTCTACTTCATCTAATCAGTTCGCTTTAAGGAAGAAAAGGCAGCAATTGAAAGAAATAGTTCTGTAAATGCGAGGGGAAGTTGAATTGCCCATTCTTTTCCTAGCTCTACACCCCACTTGAAGAAAAGCTTTTTACTGAATGGAATCTTCAGAGGAGTACAAGACTGAAATCAATATGCTTATGCAGATGTCATGGTTTAAAACCAGATGGAAAATAAGCTCTAAGCAGCCACTCCCCTTCCCTCACCCCCTCTGATGAGAAAGGGACAAAGGGCAGAGATTATAGGTTGAGATAAGAATTTACTGGAAAACATCAATGGGGTAAGAAGAACAGCAACAACACTAATAACATTGTATAAAAAGTGATTACATGCAAAAATGCTCATGGAAGTCCGACCAACAAGACACCACCACAACCAGCACTGCAGGGCTCCTGAGAAAAATAAGAAAATGGTGGATGGAACTGTCCATGCCCATGTTTCTTTTTCCCCAAGCCTGAGACAGCAAAAACAATAATGCCAAGCCCTCTGGTCAGACCATCCACACCACAGCTTCATTTGCCTTCTGCTCTCCTGGGAAAAGGAACAAAATGGCCATGGAGGGTCATTGCCTTCTTCTTCCACAGGAAACCACACCCCTTTTCTGCTGGAAAGTGAATATCCCATCCACCCCCTAGGGGTGCTGTGGGTGATACTGAGTAACAATGTAGTCATGCCCGCATGGCTTCAAGCTCTCCTCGCTGCAAGTGCAAGAAAATTAATTCTGGCCTTGGCCAAAACTAGGACAGCGTATTAATAGCTCTTAATTGGAGGAAGCCTTGGAGCAGCAGTTTTTAATGTATTCTTTTATTTGTGTTGTGATTTGGGTTTTGCCTGCTTTTAGGGGTTGTTTCTACCAGTTTTTTGGGGGTTTTTTTGGAGCTTTTCTTACTGGTCATGTTCTTTTCCCAGAATTGTATCTGTTTGTATTCTCTAGAGTATCCAGGGAGTGACTCTGGAAAGAGATGGGGAAGGTTTTTGTCAGATTATAGAATTCTGACTGATAAATTCAAGCCATTTGTCTGAATTCTGGGTTGTCTTTGGGTTTAAAAACTTACCATACCTACTGAATTTTTAATAGGTTATAATTGTAGCCTGATATGACAGGACTGCAGTTCATGTTAATAACCATATATAACTTTAAATTAGTTGTTCTTAAGAAAGAGCGGTAATTGATACCTCTGGGAGAAGTGTTCCTTTAGTAAGACTGTTAAAAAGTTAGAAGACTAATTCAGTCCCATTCAAGAGCCTGAACTTGTTTTATCTTGTTTCAGGAGTTTAAAAAAAGTTAAGAAACACTGTCTTTTGTGTTAGCTCTACTTTTTCAGGTAATGAGACTTTAAAACAATTTCACTACTTTAACTTTATACAGGAAGGAAAATAATGATATAACTTGTGATGACTTGAAAGAAGGTGAAAAGCGCTGCATTCCCAATCCTGTTTGTAAATTTGAAGATGTGTTTGAGTATTATCCTGATATTATGGCTAATATAAGAAGGGTCGGTTTTCAAAAGCCTACACCAATTCAGGTATGTCTTTAATTTCGATAACGCTTTAACTGAAGCTTAAGAGAAAAATGAAAACTACATTTAAGTATTTGTTGTTTTATGTTAGTCCCAGGCGTGGCCGATCATACTTCAAGGAATTGATCTTATTGCTATAGCACAGACTGGCACTGGGAAGACATTAGCATACTTAATGCCTGGATTCATTCACTTGACTTCACAACCAATGTAAGGACTGCTCGCAGGTCTGATTTGTTTAGATGTGCATACTTCCCCCTGCACTTACTTCCTCCTGCATCCAACTCCTGAACTGATTTTCTAGTAATGAAGATAAAAATCATGTATTGGAAAAAGCATTATAAATCTGATGGAATAAGCACCAAATTTGTTACCATAGATTCCATCAGCAGCAGTGTACAGAGGAAGTTTAGAATAGTATGAAAACATCAGTGTCAAGCATGATGGACTTGGCCTATATTTATATACCAACATTTGAAATATGTTTTGTTGCAGATCCAAAGATCAGCGTGGGGGGCCTGGAATGTTAGTCCTTGCTCCCACTAGAGAACTGGCACTTCAAGTAGAGGCAGAGTGTTCAAAGTATGCATACAAAGGAATTAAAAGGTAATCTTGCTTTTCTCTGACTTGTTAAGTAATATTTTGTTTCTCCTAACCAATTGTAGCTTAATTCACCTACTAAAATAATTGCATTTAAGAGGGGAGGGGATAGTAGTAAATGCAGAGTTTATATTTTCCCAGTTTTCAGAATGTCTGTTTCGACTAGTCTCATGGTCAAAGTTTATGTAGCTTTTCTGCTTTTCCTTCCAAGTTGGCTCCTAAGAAGAATCACACAGAATATGCTGAGTTGAAAGGGACAAGGATCATCAAGTCAAGCTCTTAGCCCTGCACAGGACATGCCCAAGAATTACACCATGTGATTGAGAGCATTATCCAAACACTTGAACTTTTTCAGGCTGGTGCTGTGATCGCTTCCCTTGGGCACCTGTTCCAGTGCCCAACCACCCTCTGGGTGAAGCAACTTTTCCTGATATCCAACTTAAACTCCCCTAACACAGCTTCAGGCTATTCCCTTGGATCCTGTCACTGCTCACTACAGAGATCAGTGCCTGCCCCTCTCTTCCCCTCATGAGAAAGTTGTGACTGCAGTGATGTTTCCCTCGTCTCTGCTTCTTCAGGCTGAACAAACACAGTGCCCTCAGCTACTCCTCACACAGCTTCTTCTCAAGGGCCTTCACCATCTTTGTGTCCTCCTTCGGACACTCTCTAATGGTTTAATGTTTTTCTTGCATTGTGGCACCCAAAACTGCCCCCAGCACTTGAGGTGAGGCTGCCCCAGTGCAGAGAAAAGCAGGACAATCCCTTCCCTTGCCTGGCTGGCAATGCTGATGCCAGCCTGATGCTCCCCCCCAGGCCTGGCTGTCAGGGCACTGCTGATTCATATTCGACTTAAAATCAATCCCTTTCCATGGCACTGCTTTCCAGCATCCCATTCTCCGGTCTGTCCATACATCCAGGTTTGCCCATTCCAGGCGCAGAATCTGTCACTTTCCCTTGTTGAAATTCATGTGGCTGGTGATTGCCCAGCCCTCTGATTTGTGGAGGTCACTCTGCAGGGCCTCCCTGCCTTGGAGGGAGTCAGCAGCTCCTCCCAGTTTTGTGAATCTGTGAACTTGCTTAGTATCTCTTCCAGTTCTGCCTCCAAGTCGTTGCAGGCAGGACATGAAGATGTTATGAGGGTCAAGGAGCCCTGTGGGGCCCTTCTAGTGACAGGTCACCAGTCTGATGCCACCCCATTCACTGTAACCCTTTGTGCCTGACCTGTGAGCCAGTTGCTTACCCATCCCATGATGTCTTTATCCAGCTGAGTGCTGGTCCAGAAGGATACTGTATTGACAGTATTGAAAGCTTTATTGAAATCCAAACAGATTACATCAACTGGCATCCCTTGATTGTCTTGGTGGGTTACATTGTCATAAAAGGAAGTCAGACTTGACAAGCAGGACTTGACTCTCATGGAGCTGTGCTGGTGACTGCATTGACTGACCAGCGACTACATTGTCTTAGAGGTGTTTGTCAGTACCTTCCAGAATAATCTCCATAACTTCATCAGGCACTGAAATGGAACTAACATGCTGGGATCCTCCTTGAAAATCAGAACAATTTTCACCAGCTTCCAGTCAGCTGGGACCTTTCTGGATTCTAAAGACCATTCAAAAATCATTGAGAGAGACTTCCCAATAACAGCCAAATTTTTGATTTTTGTATAAATCCCATCATGCCCCATGGATCTGTAGAAATACAGCTGGAGCAGCAGATCCTGCATAATTTGCACCTCAGCTGGGGGTGGATCATTCTTGCAGTTGTGGTTCTCCAGCTCAGGGCACTGAAATCCCCTTAGTGTATCATCTGTGTTGAAGACAGTGGCAAAGAATGCATTAAACAGCTCTGCCTTGTCCTTGTCCCTGTTTGTGAGGTGACCATCCCCACCCATCCAGTAATGGGCCAATGTTATTTTTATGCTGCCTATTTGCTACCTTCTCTGTAGAACAAATCTGGCTTTCTTTTCTATGAGAATACACTGCTGAAAAATGTCCAGGTTCATGGCCATGCAAGTCTCTTTGTACTGTCATCTTCTAGCACATTGGCCCTGAGTCATGGGGTAATTCCATCCCTATCTTTGTTTTTGTTAAACTTTATGGTATTTTTATCGGACCATTTCTCTAGCCTTTTTGTGGTTCTGGTACAAGCCTAATTCTCTTGAGTGTATCAGCTGCTTCCCCAGTTTGGTTTCATCCACAAGCTAAGTGTAGATCTTTATTTAAGCAATTAAAGAGATGTTACTGTGCTCTGAAACTTAGGGGTCTCTGCTAACTTTGTGTAGCATTTTGAATAAGTCTTACAGTCACCCCAATAGCAAAACATCTCACTTCTGATGGTACTGTTTGGAAAACCATGTATCCTTTCATAGTTCATCTATTTTTTGTGTGAATATTTTCAGAACTACCCAAAACATGTGAGCTATCTTCCATTCACGATTACTTTCACTGCAGTTTTAGCAGAAAACTATTGCTGAACTGTTGAGGGAGTGTCATTCAGTGTTAATTCTATTAATTATGGCAATACTGTCAATCACACTTACAGTATTCCTTCCTCTTGTTAGTACCAGGTGACACTTTTAAAGCAACATGGTGGCATTTATTTGAAAAGGATTGACTTTAGCTGAAACTTAATACGCTATTTCTGTAAAACTTTTATTTTACAGTATTTGCGTCTATGGTGGTGGGGACCGGAAAGGACAGATAGACACGGTTACCAAAGGTGTGGATATTGTTATTGCTACTCCTGGCAGACTGAATGATCTTCAGATGAACAACTTCATAAATTTGAAGAGCATAACATATTTGGCAAGTAACTGATGTGCAATGAGTAATGCACCAGCTGGGAAATGGTTGACTCAGTTTGAATTTAAGCTTTAATGGAGTTTTCTTTAAACTTCCAAAGTCCTAATTGCAATACAGCTTAACACTTAAATTGGTGTTGGAGGGATGATTCATACTTATTATAATTGCATTGCAGATGTGAAATATTCCCTAGGAAAAACAGACTTCTAGCACAGCAAGCATTTTAAAGATGCTATGTTGTTTTTTCAGTAATGTTTGGCATTCTAAAATTCATTTTAGAATTAGGATTCGTTATTAATTACAGGATTAGTTACTAATGGATTAAATGCCTTTCTGAAGTTGTTTTTTCTTTTTCTTTTTAAAGGTTAACAGTGTCTCAATTTTTTTAGTAGAACTTGTGCAGAGTCACATACAGATATTTAAATGTTGGGGTTCTGACTTTCTTTTGATCTCAGTGGAATAACAGCCTTGTAAACATCTTTGTCTTTATTTCGTTTTTGCCTTTTGCTGTGCTGAACGTGTAAGACTGTTGCTGTTTGTAAAATGCTTTTATATATTCAATTTTCTAACTTGTCTGTGAATTGTTGCCCAGTTTGACAATTTAGCCATGCTGCCCCTCTACCCTGTGAGAGTTAAATTCTCTCTATGTTGTAACAAGTTGGCTCCAATTCTAGGTGATAGTTGTGAGCTTGCTGGCAAGACCAGGACTATAGCATCTTTATAAATTTGGCCATTTGGGAAAAAAGTTTATTATTGGAAGACAAGAGAGTAGTGTTCTGTAGAAGACTAATATGTAATTGCTGAGCAGAACAGGCCTGAAAACTGGTATTCTGAGAGGTATAGGAGCATAGGTCATCTTTCTGCCAAGGTGAAGTATAGTCATACCACAGGCACACACTGCTTCATAAAGCAGTGGGTGTTGAACCAAAAGCATGTTTCAGTATGTGCAGCACATACCATAGTATGACATTGCTAAAAAGAATTAACTATCAAATGAAAAACATGGTGATGTAAAACAGGAGGAGAGACATTTATTGTTGCACTACTAGCAGTTAAACGTTTTTAGAAGAACCAGTGCAAGGACTGTGTATTGTGATGTGGTTAAGGTCTCATGCCTCAGACTTTAAGGAAATGCTGTGCTACCACAGCCCCATGTGAAAAATTGGACATGGAAAATTTTATCTTTTTATGATCTTCCTATATATTTATCCTTGTAGTTTCTTGTGCTTTTTAATATATAAGTTACTTTCTGTTTCCAGAGCTTCATTGTCAGTTTTCAGCCAACAAATAATTTAATCTTGCAGCCTTGCTTTCAGAAAAAGAGAGTGGTAATAGATTTTAATTTACCACCTTGGATGAAGAACACTCTTCATTGAAGAGCTTCATCTACAGTTTTCAATTAAAGATATTACTGAGTCTTTGAAGGTTCCCAAAGTAAACTGAGTATTTTATTACTTGCTAATATGATGCAGTTGTTTCACAAAGGACTTCCAAGATAAGATACTGGGATACAGTTGTTAAAAAAACCACAACCAACCAAATGTACCACCTCCCAGAAAAGAGAAAAAAAAATGAGCCACCAAACAACAAAAAAATCCACAAAACCATGCTCTATTATTTATTATAATTTATGTCTAAATAGGTACTGGACCCAAGGTGATTTTTTAGGTTAGAATTTCTCTACTTCCCTGGCAGAACCATGAAGTTGATCAAGTCTTGATTCATATTTTTAGGAAGCCATTTATTCAAGATAGGCTGCTGTTTTTCAGTATTTCAGAAGTAAGATTGTAAATTCTGTCATAAACAGCCTTTTGATTGTTCAAAATACATTTCATATGAAAATATGCTTTTTGTTTCCCCTGTGTTCAGTGTAAATCAGTATTCATTCATCAGCAATCTGATGAAGTACTCTTAATTCTTTGGGCTTCATGCTGATAAAGCAGAAGGAAGGAATTTGGAATTGTGCATGAAAATTGGGAAACATTTAGGAGAAAGTGTGATTAAATATATATATATCTAAAGCATGAAGGAAGATGGAAAAGATAGATTGGAGTAGGAGTAATGCTTTTATTCTTCAATATGAAAAACAGTAGTGTAAATCTTACCAATAACTGATTCAAAACAAAGGAGAGAGCAAAGTAAATAATTTTCAAAGGAAGAACTGGCTTGTAAGAATTTCTTGCCAAGATATAGAACTGTATGTATATATTTAAAGGTAACAAGAAACCTAAGATTATGTCCATTGAAGGACATAAAGATTATAAACAAAGATGGGGCTATGACACATGTAGAAAAAATCAGTACTAATATCTATCTGACGTCTATTACAGCCTTTAATCTTAATGAAGCAGCTATCAGAAATAAGAAAAGTAAACTTCAACTACCCTGATCCATCTGTTAGACACAGATGCTTTCTTTTCCCTCTGCAGCGAAGTGCCGGTGAGCTTAATAGCATAGAAAGCTTCTACTGGTGAAAAAGACATAGCAGCCAACTCTGAAAAATTAGTTGTTTCAGCCTCCAATTCTGTTGAAGCCAACAATTCTATTAGAATTCATGTAGTCAATGAAATCTCCATGAGCCCTCTAAAAATAATGCAAATTAAATCAAGAAATGGAATTCTTATCTTGCCTCTCAAACGATAATTTGTTGTTTTAGAGATTTACATAGGTAATTATATAAACTAAAGCTATGTAAACTATAACTACTAAACTTATATAATAAGCTTATTATATAATAATGTAATTATTATTTAATATAATAAAATATCAGGAAATAATGGAGCAGCAAAATTAGGACAGTAGAAAGGGATTATCATCAATTTCCACATAAGTGACTAGAAATTGTTGATACTTAAAAGGGCAATCCATGTAACTTTAATTTTCAAATAGAGTTTATACAAATCAAAGGAGATAAATGAGTTTCAGATATCAATCTTCTTTCTTTGTACGTGACTGAAAACATTCACAAGTGTGCTTGTATATTAGAAAACTTGCCAGTTCCAAAGAGTTGTTTTCAGACCTCCAGCTCACTTGTTCATTTCTGGCCTTTTTAACCAGATGAAACAAGCTTGTGCTCTGGGAGCTGTGCAGTGTCCTAGTGTGAGCCAGAATGTATGCTATGGCTTTTTTCCTATTTCTAATGAGGAGCTAAATTGACAAGTGATATTTTGAGCCTGTATGAGATCTCTGAAGAGGTAGAAATTAGATTTCCCCTTTAAATAGCAAACAGTTTCTCAATGTGTGTTGAACAGGTTGCTCCCATCTGGGTTTGGTTGGCTATGTGTTTTTGTTTCAATTTGTGCTTAGTTTTAGCCATCACCCTAATTACTGTTAAAACAAGCGGTTGTTTTTTTCTTTAAATGCTCTTAAAGGAGCTGTGAATTTTCTTGTTTTGCCTGCAAGCATAATACTGAATAAAAAAGTGTCAAGGAAATTGAAGAGGTAAAATAGAACAGGTTTTACAGTAAGTTATGGAGAAGATTCTGCAATTAAAACAGTTACCATCAAAATCTTCTTCTGTGTAATGTCTTGCTGAAACAAACCCTCATCTGAGGGACTAGGCAGAATAAATAACCTTGTTTCTGAACAGGTTTTAGATGAGGCTGACAGAATGCTGGATATGGGATTTGAACCTCAGATAATGAAGATCCTAATAGATGTGCGACCTGACAGACAAACTGTTATGACGAGGTATCTAGACATAGTAGTGCTCAGGACTTGAACATAAGGTTATTGAACAAGTTAATTATTAGTGAACAAATTAATTTCAAAACAAATGTGTCAGTTATTAAAATTTGATAATTTTTTTTCCCCATTTTGTACTGTCTTTTCTGAAGTTGTTTCATCAAATATAAAGACAATTGAGTTGTCCCGAAAAAAGGAAGGTATCCTGTGAGTGCTAGAATTTGCCATATCAATTTGAAATGCCGACTGACACTTCTCCATCTGGAACCAAATGCATTTCCTGACTCTATGACCAGTATCTGTTCTAGTCTGTACCTGGATTAATTTTGAAATTATGCAGCTTTTGGGAATTTAACAAACAAATAACCCAACAATTAATTTTTTTTGCATTTAATTATTTTTTTGCATTTTATTTTATTTTTATTTATTTTTTTATTTTATATATTTTATTTTGCATTTAATTAATTATTTGCCATATTTTGCATTTAAGCTGTTGTTTTAAAAAACAGACTAGAAACTTGCTTATAAGTATTGTTCAACTACTAAACTCAGCTAAGGCTTCAATAGAAAGGCTCTATAATTGTTGCCTGTATTTTTAACCAACAAAATTACCTTAGAAGCTCAAGTGCTGTTTACTATTAACTTAAGATGAGTTAAACTCAACACTGTTACTGCATATGTGTTTCACTGATATACAAGAAAAGAAGAGCAATATGAAATTAATGAATTGGAGAATAATTGGCACACTATTCTCATGCATGTGTGCTTTCTTTTTCACTTCCTTTTTAGTGCTACTTGGCCTGACTGTGTCCGTCGCTTAGCAAAATCGTATTTGAGGGATCCCATGATTGTGTATGTTGGCACTCTTGACTTAGCAGTAAGTTGTCCTGTTCTTTTTTGTTTTTTCCCCTTCCTTTTGTAGAGGAACCTATGCTTAAGCCAAAAAATTCTTTCTTGTACCTAACTGTATTTAAGTAAATGCATGTAGCTTTTGTAATCAATTTGAGCTTTCAAGAAATATCTCCATGCTATTTATTTTAAAGTTTCCTTAAAAGTTCAGAAAAATTTCAAAAGTATAAACAAACATTTTCTGTAACAACATCTGGAAGTCTTAGCTCTTCAGTAGAAGACATCACAGGTGACAATTATCAGTCATATTGAATATTCTGCTTCACAGTGCCAAGTGTTTTTGTGTGATCCCCTGGTTTTGCAACCTTAATTTTGGTTCAGCAAGCTCTTATTCTTTACTTGGTTTTCCTTCTGAAGTTCTTCTTTCTAATGCATACAGATCCTTATCTAAATCTGTTTCCTAACTGCATCTTCCTCAGTTGGAGTGGGACCTTTGTACTAAACTCTTGGAGGACACTTGCCTAGAGCAGGAAATAATGTGTTAGAGTAAGAACTGTCTTTAAAGTCCAAAACTTCTAACACGTGGATGTAGTTGCTTAGTTGTCATTGTTGTGCAGCTATGTGTAGTTGGCTTCAGTACCAGCAGAATTTACAGAAATAGTAGTTTGCCAAAATCTTAGGAAAATTTCACTTTCAGTTCCATTTTTTTATTAGCAATAGGGAATAGGAAACCTAGTATCCAGCACACTTTTCAGTAGAAATAGAGACAAAATGTGCTTTTTGTCTGTTCTGTTCAGAACTACATTTTTATCAAAGGGCATGCCTTGTCAGGATTGTAATTTGAAAGACATCAATTGCTGTTGTAGCTCTCTTCTCTAGGGCATTCATCTCTTTTTACAGGAGCTTCTCTTAGTTGAAGAGGTGACATGTGGTGGGGGGAGGAAGGTTCACATGTGGAGAGAGAATCTTTGTCTGCTTGACTGAGTCTTCAACTCTTGCCACAAGATCATGATACCATCCCATGAGAATGTCTAGATGTTTTATTCTACTTATTAGTTATACCTTAGACATTCTGTGGTAACCTTGAGAGGTGATGGAGTAAAGTTTTTAATGAACTGTTACTGGATTAGTTAGAACTGATAATTTCAAAGAGATTTACAATACCTTTAAAAGCCTATAATTTCAAGTAAGACAGCCATTGTTCCAATTTCCTCTCAATTAATATAAAATATTTGCAGATTAAAGAACTTCAATGTGCTTTTCACTAATAATTTATTTATTTAATCTCATTAATCCGTACCCTTTAAATATCTGCAAATAAATGGTTTGACAAACTGCTTAAAGGTAAATTTTATTATTCTTCTAAAGCAACACGGAAGTAAGAAATCTTCATTGTTTGAACTCCAAACTGATACATATTAAGATAGTTTTTTATGGTATCATATATTACTAGTTTTAAAACATGGCAATATGGGAATTAACAGAAAAAATATTATTGTAATCTGTTTCTACCTAACATCCCTTTTTGCTGTTTGACAGGCAGTAAACACAGTACAACAAAAAGTTTTTGTTATCCCCGAGGAGGAAAAGAGAGCTTTCATGCATAGTTTCATTAAGTCTATGAAGCCAAAAGATAAGGTCATCATTTTTGTGGGAAAAAAGCTTACGTATGTAATCACTTCCCAGTATCACCTCTGTTTGGGGTTTTTTTTTCTAACAGAAATACCAAATGGTTTCTTAGTTCATATAGTAACTATAAAGTATAATAGCTCTTCTCCACAATGTGCTGCTAGTAGTATTATTTTTATTTATAATTTATTCCTTCAGACTGACTGGCAGTTTGTATCTTTTTTAATATTGTTAATGGTGGTGGTAAGTCTCAGTTTCATGTAGTTCAGGTGGGATGTTTGGATTCTTGGGGATACATGAATGTGATGTACTGTTTCCTTTCATGCGCCTCTGGTGCACAACACAAAAATAATCTAAAATAAAATAATCTAAAAGTATAGATAAAGGTAAACATTTCTATGTGGATTAGACTTGCTTTCCTATTTTATAATAAATATCGGCTGACCTTGATAGCATTTTGTCCTTAAGCTCACATTTAGCTTCTGTTGTCACATTTGTCTTTTTGATCTAAATCTAGATACTGCACTATTTTGTTTCTTCTTTTCTTTTGTTTTAAGAGCCATTGCTTTATTTCACCGTAGAGCTGATGACTTAGCAAGTGACTTTGGCATCCAAGGAATTCCAGTACAGTCACTTCATGGCAACAGGGAACAATGTGATCGAGAACAGGCTTTGGATGACTTCAAGAAAGGTGACTCTGTACTGAAGTACTGGTTTGTTTAGGCCAGACTTTTAAAGTTTGTTCTGTTCAAAGCTTGTCTAAGTGCCATGTCTCTTTAGTGCTATAGAAATGAAAATATTAATGAGCTCTGAATTATACATTTTCTTTATTAATTGGACCATGAAAAAGACCCAGCAAGCAAAGAGATTGCTATTCAATAAAATACTTTATTTCTGGGAGTTTAATAATTTAGAGTAAAGCTTATTTTACTTTTGACATTTCTGGAAAAGTTGGTACTGTGTTACTCTACAGAATGGTAAATTTAAATGTCAGATGATGGTGCTTTCAATGGAACAGTCCTTCTCCAGATTATGCTAGCAGGGTTATGTGAACACATATTTGTGAACACAGTTCAGGGTTATGTGAACACATGCTAATAAAAGACTGCTGTTGTGACAAGATGTCAGCTGAGAATATAGTTGTTGAAGTTTTTGTTCTTTGGACAGACTCTTTATATCAACCAGGCATATTTCTTACTTTTCCTGCACTCTGCTGTTCTACTTGTGAGTTGAAAATAATAGTAAAATGACATTTTGGCTGCCAGATTACCAGATTGTAATTGAAGCTAACTCAATGTGATAAGCAACAAGCATATTTTCACTTGGTGTTAAGAATAATAAGTGCATTATAAGCTAGAAAACCAATAGACTGGAGTATGTTTTCTGTTTGTTCCATAAACTCCTATTCTTTTCCTGTCATACTTCTTGTAGGCAAAGTTCGAATATTGGTAGCTACTGACTTGGCATCCCGTGGCCTTGATGTGCACGATATTACTCACGTTTTTAACTTCGATTTCCCTCGCAACATTGAAGAATATGTGCACAGAGTAGGTCGTACTGGAAGAGCAGGGTAAGTGTTTACCAGAAAATAGTAATGTATTATTGATGTTTGTTATGTTTTATGCACTGTGTAGGTGTTTTTCTTGTCAAATTCTAGAGGCTACAGGTGATGTGGGGTGGGGCAGTAAAGACTTCAGTGTATCAAAGTATATTCTTGAAACACACTGCTTTGTCTTTAAATGAATTCACCATTAAATTGTAGGCAAACAAGTTTTGCACTTTCCTGTTATTGAATGAAGGGTGCTTGTAAGCTGGTTTAAATATGAGGAAGAATTAGAAAAATAATTTGCACTGATATTCTGGAATGTTACTTCCTTGTTTATCTCTTCATGGGCTGCTGATTTATTTTATTTCCTAGACAGCACATTGAGAAGAAGCATCTGTAGGTTCAAAGTCTGCAGCCAGTCGTGGTGGTGTGGTTTAGTGGTAGTTCTTTTGGATGCCACTTTCCCATGCTGACACAAGTGTGATTTTTCTCATTTAATCATGAATATGTGTCTCTTCATACTAAAATACGTTGCCATTATGCTATGTTTATTGTCTAAAAGGCTAAATTAGTTGTGCATTTGCTCCATTATGGGTGAATTGCTGTATTCTAATTTTTATGAAAAGTTGCCTTCTGTCATGTGCAGACTTAATGCTCAAACCACTTTTATTCTATCAGCTCAGTAATATTGCCTGTAGTACAGCTCATTACTGCCTAAGTCAGTAGTAAAAGCCTGGCAAGAGTTGTTTTGAAGATCAGCAGTTGTTTTCTTCCTTGTTTAGGCGCACTGGGGAGGCAGTAACACTTGTCACAAGCAATGATTGGAGGTTTGCGTCCGAGCTGATTGACATTCTGGAAAGAGCAAACCAAGTAAGAATACGTTACTGGGTAAGAATTATATTGGTTTTGAGTTAGCATCTGAAGTAGGTCATGAAATTCTAAGCCTATTTAGACCCCTCTTGGTGTTTGTGCTGTCTCATGGGAAAAAAAAATGTGTTTCAGTGTGTTTTGTCGTAGATAGCCCTAGCTGTATTTTACCTTACAGATGAATTCCAGGAAGGAACTGTGGAAAAGGTAACTAACATACACAGTGAGGTCTGCAGAAGAGTAATAAGGTTTATTTTATGTCATAATATTTTATTCCATTTGGATTTCACTTTTGGATGCATGTACCAATGTTCTTAACAGTGTAAATATTAACAATACTTATATCAGAAGAAGTTCAAATATTTGATCTGTTTCTTGTATCTGACAGTTGTGACACCTACATCTTCCAAGCTATCTTCCTTACTGATGCTTGTAAATAGTATGGGAAATGGATCTGGAATGTGATCTCTTTTTTTTAAAGAAGCATTTTTTTTTTCTTAATACCATATCTGAGAAAACAGAGACAACAGTGTTGCTGTTTCTTGCTGTAACAAGGATCAATATTTTGTCTGATTTATAGTAAACCCCCCAGTTCAGGTCCTGACTTGAGCTGAAATTTTGTTTGTTTGGGTTGTGATGTTTGGTTGGTTGGTTTTTTGGATGGGAGTTTGAGTATATACTAAATGGATTTTACCTCAAATCTCTGGTTTTTACTATGGACACTTACTCAGACTTTAAACCTTGGGTTAGAACTTCACCTCCATCTTTTGGTTTGTAACTCTTCTTAGAAAGATATAATGTTGCTTTATTCCAAACTTAGTAAGATTTTTTTGAGGGAGGAAAAGGAGAAAAAAAAGGCATAGAAGAGTAGTCACCTAGTAATTCCTTAAAGTTGCAGATTTGGGATTTTTGGTTGGGGTGGGATTTTTTTGCTTTGTTTTTATTCAGAAAATGCAAGAGGTGAAACCAGTAGTGATACTGTGAAGCTACTTTAGAGGTGCCTTGTGTTTGTTTTCTGAGTTAGCAATTCCCTTTCAAGCCTTGATTCCAGCTGCAGACTGCAAAGTTCCCAAACTGGTTTGTTTTTTTTGTCATGTGTGATAGTTCAACTGGGAATGAGTCTCTGAGTTCAGAGGAGAAAAGAGGAACTCTGAATCCTTGCTTTCAGAAGTAACTATTAGGCACAACATTATTCTCAAACTTAGTTACATCTGATAGAAAGGAAGTATCCCTACAGACAAAGTATTGGGGTTTTTTCTAATGACAATGAAAATACCGTTGTTTCAGTCTTAAAGCATCATGTAAAAGTAAGTAGAGAACTAAAGGTTCAGAATACTTTGATTTCAAAACAAGTTAGCTCCTTTTGTTAGCCAAATGTTCTCTGTGATTTTGAATCTACAGATTATATAAAGAAAAACAGATACAGCAATAAGGTGTCTGTTTCATGCTGAAGGAATCTTTTATATATAAAAGCTTATTAAGAAGCATGGGCAGATTTATTGGAAAACAGTTAGAAAAACAGTAATCTCTGTAATACCAAGAAAAGCCTTCCATATAAATTATGGCATCTTTATCCTTTTCTATTTTCTCACATGGACTACCCTACCCAGGCTTATATGTTTAGCAGATACACAGTTTGCTCATGAAAATTCTCAACAAGCCGCTAGATGCTGGATACTACCTCACTGTGATTTTTATGTTTCTATATCCCCACTTCTTCCCTCTTGCCTTGTGCTTGCTCAAAAGCTTCCGCAATAAATTGTTGCGACTTTAGTTTGGAATAAGTTACACTTCGAGCTCTAGGAGAGGATCTGATACTGTGGAAGAAAATCATCCAATGTATCAACTGAAAAATAACTTTGTCTCAATACTTCTATCTCCACTGATAAATCTGTTGTGACTTTCAGCTGGAGATACAGAATTTTTAAATTCATTTTTAAATAATGTTTGAAACTTAGGCAGAATAGACTCTTCCAGAGTTGTCATATTTTGCCAGGATAGTCACTCACCAGTACATAAAACATACACTAGCGAGCTGTCCCTCATGCCAGCTCAAGAAAAAAAATTGCTCAGTCTGAGCATTGCTCAATTATAAAGCCTGACAAAAGAAATGGAAACTAGAGGAATATGATTTCCTGTTTCACCAGACCTTTTGTCCTGGCTGCGTTCTCCACCTGTTCAAGCATTGCCAAGCCCAGGCACTTTTAGGGAGACCTTAAGGTATTTACATTTGTTTGTACTCTGCTGTTTGCACTGTATTTGCGCTACTGGCAGACACAAATCACACAGACTGAGCAGTCATGTTAATAACACATTTACATACTGCCTTTGCTGCAATCAGGAAACTGATTCTGGACAGGGTGAATTCAACTGATGGCTGTGTGCCATTGCAGATTGTTGAAGTGGGCTGGCTTTGACAGATCAGTGATCTGAGACCTCTTGATAGTACAGTTGCCCACAGTGCTTTTTGCAGTAAACATTGCATTTATGTCAGCACTATGCCCGACCTGGTTTAAGAAGTTTTGTTGGATACTGCCTATGTTCTGTGGGCAAAATAATGGTATCTGGGACTTTTTTTTTCATCACTGTCACTCAACCTAATAAATCTGTCTGTAATTCTTCATATCAGGCCTCAGTCAGTAAAAGCTCTGAGGTGAGAGTGTTTTGATGATACTGTTCACATTTTCCACATAATTACAAACATTCCAAAAGCCCCTATGGATCTTGGTAAGATGTTCTTGCAACCTCCCAGTGGTGGGAGATCTGAGCATTTTCTCTTGACCTTCTTTCCTTGTCTTTTAGATTTGGTCTAACCACATGAGAACTGTTCCTATGACAACATTTTCTTTAAGTCACAAAATTTCTCTTCAGAGGCTCTAAAAACTTCCATAAGGAATTTAATACAAATCAACATTCAAATATATGTATATATTATTATATCACCTTTAAGTAGGACTGGATATTTTTACCAGCTGTTCCTTTTCATTAAAGGAACATGTAAAAATGTATCTTTTAATTAGCTGGTTCTATGCTGCAATCAGATACAGTGATGCAAGCATAGACATATTACTGAAAATCCAGAGACATGATGATGATTATTTTTCAGTATATTTCAGTACAATCTTATGTAAAATGGTTTCTCTCTGCATTTCTACGGAAAAGAATCTATAGAGTGACAGGAGTCAGATAAATAAGGATATCAAGTTTGGGAACGCACAGAACAATAGCATTTTCATAAAGCAGAATCTAAAAGTTTAGATTTGTTTAAAATTCACCTTGTGTTTTTGCCTGCTTTCTTATTAGGTAGTTCCTGATGAACTTATTGCAATGGCAGAAAGATACAAGCAATCACAAATGAGAAAAGATAGTGAAAAGGATATACAAAGACCTTGGAGAAAGCCCTCAAAATGAGTATAATCCCTTGAAGCAACTGAAACAGAGAAAGTTATTTTAATTAGTATTAGCATCCATGGGCTTGAATTTATAAGTTTCATTTTGTGTTTGATTGTTTAATAGGACAGCTACAGAAAACAAACTTCTCAAAAATGTCTTAGAAAAGGAAACTGTTATTAACTTTCTATAGGAATTAATGTGGTTTTGCACTTGGATACTATTTTCACATAAAAATTAATTTTTTTTGTGTGTGTGTGATGTATGAAACTTCTAAAGCCATTATCTGCTGGTAAAAATCAAATATTGTGGCTTTGTTGGTTGGTTTGTTTTTTTTTTTTTAGTTAAATGAAGTAAGAATGTAAAGATATGTAAGAATGTAAAAGATAATTTTTCCTTTTATATTCAGAGAAATGGATTGTTCATTGTAAGCAATGCTTGTCAATGTATTTTCAAAATACTGTACCTTTGCCTTGACATGCCACTGACATGCAGAAGTATTTCTCAGGATAATGAAAACTGCTCTGCTTGCCATTACATATGTTTGCTGAAGCAAGTTTCCTTTATTCTTATTTTAAAATTTAACATTGGAAGTTGTGTCTCAAGATTTTTTGAGAGGTCTGCATTTTCTTGTAATGGAGAGAGCATGATAAAGTACTTGTTTGTAGCTAAATGAGGAAGAAGACCAGCTTCTACTCTGGTTTTTGTGGCTATGTTCTAGCTTAAGGAACAAAACCAGAATTTACTTAGAGCAATGTTAACAAAGTCATGGAGAAAAGAATACATTTGAAAGTCAGCTTTTATTTCTTCCAGATAAAGTTGATTTACACTTTACATTTGGATGTCAAGTTCTGTCACACAGATGCCCAGTAATAATGGGGCATATTTTCTACTCTTTCAAATTTATATGGGAATGAGTTATTCCTTCATTTGATGCTTGGTCTGAACTTGCATTTATCTGTCATATGATTAAATAAAAATAAACAAAATTCAGTAAAATTAAAATCTTTTAGTAAAATTACTCTGTGAATATTCTTCCCTCTTAATTTGCTCATAATTTAGGTAAATCTGGGCATTATTCAAGCCTGTAGGTTATTTTGCCTTCAAAATTAGGCTAAAAACATGGACTTCTCATGGCTTCTATAAGTAGAAGCAAAAGACATTTATTTGCAGCACAGCAGTTCTCAAATGCTGGGTACTTCTCACCTGCACAATTTTAGTAATAGGAAATATTAAATACTTTTTTTTCCTAACACACATTTCTTAAATATGAGAAAAATGCATATGAATTCAATTTCAGGAGTGTCCAGTTCATGCTGCATTTTGGTTTTGATAAACTTTTATATCAAGATTCCTCCTCTTTGATACAGGTTGAAAGATGCATTTCTTTCTACATGAGTCATCATACAAATAAATGCTCATTGGCACAAAACCATCTACTCTGTTGCATCATTTTAGATAATGATTGTTTCTCATCCAAAGCCCAATGAATAGGCTGATTTCTAAAGTAATTCTGAAGACTCAGAAAGGGTGAGTTATTCAGGAACTTCATATTACTCAGATAAAATACTCTCTCTCTCTGCTGTTGTTGGTGATTGTCCTCTGCAAAAGATCTTCATCCACACAGGTGATCTGGGGAAGTTGTTCTGGTTACTCAAATGTAATGTCAAAGTAATTCCAGTGACTTTTGAAAGCAGGGAGTGTATTTTGGATATTCTGCAATGGAGCTTAATTTTAAATAAAATTGTCATTTTTCCCTTTATGCAGTCATTGATGCCTTAGTACTTGAAAACATAGAAGTTACATGTGTGAAATGAACTGTTGCAAATTCTTCTTTATGTTCTTAGTATATCTTGTAGATATTTTGCAGGTGACATCTACATTTGGATAGGCAAGGTAAATATTACTTAAAACATTTATTTTAAGGGTTATGGCAAGGCACTGTAACTGAAGTATGTATTTTTCTCTTTGTGTTCTTGTTTTTATTTTGGTTTGGTTTTTTTGGTTTTTGTAGTACCAGGCAACTGAAGAGTAGAGTTGTGCAGACTATTTTGTTTTAAATAGGCAAGTCAACATGATTAGATATCTATTGTGAACAATGTTCTTAATAATTCTCATGAAATACTGGGAATCCATTGTTCAATTCATGGCTTATTTTTCTTGAAAGGAAATGATGTCTTGCCTTATCTTCTAGGCTGAACAAGTTGTATTGGGGAATAAAAAAGTGAGTCAGCTGAGACTTTTGCAGACAGTCCACAAAAAATCCCAGACATTGCTGAAAGCAATGATCCAGGTCTCCCAAGTGCCAGTCTGAGTCATTTGGCCACGTGACGCAGGAGTGGAGAAAAGCAGTTTTCACATGATAGGAACAGAATTTTTCCAGTTCTTTTGGGTATTTCATTTTAAGTTGCTCTAGAAGATACTTCAGCAGCTTAAGGCAGCCTTTCCTGTTTAAAAAAAAAAAAAAAATTAGGTATCTTCTCCATAGTTCTAAATATGTAGTTCAGATATTTAAACACAATTATGCATTAATTTTCTTGTGGCTTTCTTGATTCAATGCAAGATGTAATTGGCAAACCAACTTCTTTGTTTACTTGTTAAGGAGATTTTGAACCTCATGTGGGTTTTGTTCTTCCTTGAAGAAATCTGGAAAACGGTTCTCATAGAAGTGAAAAATCACTTATTCATCTTGATCTCATTCAGCAGTTTTCTCACCATTATTTTAGAAACTGCCTTGATATGAAGTGCAATTTTGCCCAGAAAGTGGAATCTTCACTTTTTAAAGCTGTTTTTTCTAAATGGGACTGAATTTGGGAAAGATAATTTAACAAGTCATATCTTCCTGCATTCTAAGGCAAGTCTGGAGTGTAAACCAGTAATGTGATTGTTTCCACCTTTCCATTTGGATTGTTTCCATTCAGCAAGCACATGCAGTGCTGTATTGTTGTAGAACAATTATGCCTAAAAGACTCTTGCTTCCTATTATGAGTAATTACTGTTAGATCAAATTCTTCAATGCTAAACTGAAACAGTGTTAGTGCTAGCCCAGCTCACCAACCTGCAGCATCTTGGTCCATCGGACTCACAACATGTCTTTGAGTTGCCGTGATTGTTCATCATTTCCTTTTCAATATGTGAGAAGGAGAGTCGCCAGGTGTTCCCTGAAGTCAAGAACACCACTGTTAAATGGTTACACAGCACTAAGCATCAACTTTTGTAGTTAGAAAAAAACCCAATTTTGTAATTGACTTAAATACCAGCAATTTTTTTGCACCCACTAAAAAAAAAAATCATAATTCAGTGAATGCAGTTAGTTCCTCCTTAATTCCCCAGCTGCTTCATGATGACAATTAGAATGTAAATAATATAGAACATAGTTAATTGTTTGGATGCTTTAAATTCCTAAAGATGTTTGGTTTTAAAATTAGACTTAATTCTGAACATCGCTGGATTTGCTGAACATTGTTTAGAGAACTGCATTATTCATAGAAATCCATAACCTTTTAATTTCTGTACTGGGTTTCTGGGTTTTCTTCGTGCAAGTAGTAGGTTTGTGAGTTTGTCTTAGGTAAGGTGACTGTTCTAAAGTACTTCGTTTTGTTCTTCTGCTCATGCTTCTGAAAATAATTGCTAATATAGCTCAGTGCCTGTTTTTAACACCAGCAATCCCTTTTTCTTCTTTTCATGAATTACACTGTTTCCCCTGTTAGGCTCAGTTACTCTTTACATTTAATTTGCACAGGAAGAAATCAGGACTGCTGTACTGGGCTTTGATAACATGGGCATGCAACTTAAAAAGACACCAGAATGGTTGAAATCTTTTTGATGAAATCATCAGTTACCATAATGCATTGACAAGTCAGAATGTTTCTGCAAACTAATGGAGGCTCCATGCGATAGTGGTCTGGAGGAAAAAACGTTGTAGCCATACCAGAGTTCAGTGAGAAGTAATGTATCTTGATAGAAAAGTTTGCTTCCTGCAGAAGTATCTGATTTGTGGATGCAGTCCCATGTACGGGGATGTTCCCTGCATTTTTAGCAGCTTGCTTCTAATTTCCTTACAAGAGAGTGCAAGCTGCTGTTAAGTACGGTGCTAGCGCAAGGCAAGGCTCATATGCATCTGTCTGCCTGAAGTGGATTTAATATAATGCTCTTAGTAATGGTTAGCATACAGCCTGGCAGAGTGGGTTTGTATTTACATTTCTGTACAGGACAAGCAGTGCCACAAATCTGATGCTTTAAAGAGGGATTTCAGTTGTCTGAGCTGGATATATCCAGGGTGAGGTGTCTCAAAGGTGGAACACTGAACATGATCTGGATACGTTTTCTATAGCACTTGTAAGTGATTAAGTTGTAGAGAAGATATTTCCCAAGTTATTATTGTCCATATTTGAGGTACCTCTTAGAACTTTTTCTCTTTTGTTTTGCTTGGCTACTAAATAAAGTGGTTTAAATCTGAAATTCCTCCTGGCTTTTGTTCCCAACCACTGTTCAACTTTGAGGCCGCCCTGTGTGCTGAGAGGCCAGCTCTGCTGAACCTCCAAAGTCAAGATGATGTCCACTGATATTTCTGATGGAGGATTTTTGATCTGAAGAGTGATTGCAGGGCTTCCAGCCTTTTTCCGTGCCACAGTGACTTCCACATCTAGTAACAAAGAAAGTGATATTTCATGTTAGATAGATAGATTAGTTAAATGAAACTTTCTTTTGAAAAATGTTACAGTTTTTAATATAGAGCTCATAAGCAATCAAAAGAAGTACCTGGGTTCTGTCACTGGTTCTTTATCCTGCAGGATATTGAAACATTGAGAAGGCCTGTTGACGAGTTCTGTGAAACAGGGAACACTACTGTGTTTGCTTGATTTACTGTCTAGTAATTAAAAATATAGTAATGTTTTTCATTCAACTGCTTCCCTGTTGGAAACACAGTGAAGAGATCTTCACAATGTTTCTGAAGGTTTTAATAACATAAATAAAAAATAAATATAAAATAAAAAATAACCCTAAGAGGGGTTATTTTAATATATTTATATAAAGTGTGTATAAAAATAACTGGGATACAGTTTCTGTACTGAACCATAAAAAAGTCTTAGGTACTGTATAAAAAAAAGCTCACTGTTTTGCTACCACTTCAGCAAATGGCTCTTTGTATACTCCAGATAGATGCAAGATGTAGGAATGTAGGATTGCGTTCCTATTGCATGTAGGAAGTACCAAGAATGCAACAGGACCCTTAATGTTTCTTATTTTCATACAGAAAATATGCATAGTGGAGTTAATAATGTAACAAGTTACCCCTGATGCATTTGTGGTTCTTAGAAACACAAGAGCCAGGCTGAGATACTGGGGACGGGAGGGGTCACAGCTCCATTGGCACAAAGGACTGGCAGGAAGATGTATCTTAACACCGGGGCAACACAATATGCACAGTGCAGCTGGATTTTTAGCACTTTATGGTGAAGCTTACTCTCTCAGTACTAACCTTTAATGTTTTTTACTTCCTGTTTAATAATGTCTCTTAGTGCTTGAAGCATTTTAAAGGCTGATAATTTTCCATCTTCCTCTAAAAACTTCGACCAACCCTTTTCTTTTGGATTTCTTTTGAATGATACATAATAATAGGCTCCAGTATCATCAGACTCATCCAGCTGAATCCTTTCAACAGGCATTACAAGCATTATGTCAAACTCATTTGGTTCAGTTATCTGCAGATATGAAAATACAACAGTCAGTGTGCAACTTAGGTTTTATTCTCTTGAGATTTTCATACCAGTTGTGGTTTTATCTACCTTGCTGTACTAATCATGTCAAATGTGAAATATGAGCTTATTTCTGTGGTATTGCAAAATTAGTGTGCATTGGGGTGGAAAATAGCAAATTACAGCTCACTTCCCAGCTCTCCAACTTATTAATTTTTTAAGACAGTTTTAAGATTCTTGAACTCTTCTGAATAATTAATGCATAAACATTGTATTCAGTCATCCTTTCCCATATCAGAATCAACTGTGAGGAAAAAAAATGCATTGCTACATCTGAAGCTCGTTTTGGACAGGGAAAAAAAAAAAATTGTCCCGATGTTTGACTTTCTTTCAGTCTGATGGAACCAGGAAAAACAGGTACTGGTTAATGACAGAAGGCAAAGGGGCTGGAATGGACCTTAGAGATATAGCTAGTCCTGACCCACCCTGCCCTGGGCAGGGATACCTTCCACTAGACCAGCTTGCTTAAGGCCTTATCCTACCTATCCTTGAATAGTGTCAGGTTTAGCACATCCACAATTTCCTCAGGCACCCTGTACCAGTGTCCCGCCACCCTCACAGTAAAAAAATGCTTTCTATCTAATCTAAATTTTACTTCTTTCAATTTGTATGCGTAACTCCTGCTTTTTGAAAACACTCTGGAACTAAAACCTGGCCCAGAGCTTCTTGTGCAGTGCTATACCTGACCGATCATGTTAGACTGGGCTCACCTGCGTGCTGAGCAAGGGCGAGTCCCGTTCAGGTAGCGTCTCTGACTGAATGCACGTAACACCAGTCAGCAGATTATTGATGATTTTATAATGCATTGTCGTTACTTCACAGACTCATCCTTAATTCTAACTCGTCGGGAAGGGCCAGCTAAGAGCTGCCCTCCGCGGCCGGCCCGTGCAAGGTGCCCGCCACCTGCCGCCGCAGCCCGGCGGGGGAGCGCAGC